ACAAATTTTTGTGCACCGGGCCTCTAGTTATTATATAATTGCTGTCCAGAGCAAATATTAGAGATTTAGTGCTTTCTAAAATTTTTCTTGTCTCATTCCTGTCCTTATCATTGTGTGTGTGCATGTGTGTGTGTGTGTGTGTGTGTGTGTGTGTTTTCTTTGTAAGTAAAGGCAAGAAAGGGGGGTAATATTTAGGAACCAAAACAAAAGCCAATTGACAATTGGCCATCTACTACTGATGAACTGAGTTATGAAATGGGAACAAAGAAAGAGAACGTAGCAACTCTGTAGGAATATATCCTACTCTAAGGAAGGAATTCTGTTCTCAGGTACTAATTAACAAAGTCAAGGCAAAAAAAGTGTGTATATGCAAAACTATAAAACCAATGGAGGATTCCTCTGGTTCCCCAAAGCAGAGAATCCACAAAGTGGCATTGTTCCTGGTGTGCTTTGTGTTTTTTGAGTTATGATGTAATCTCACTAAACCTGTGGAGCTGGCAATTTAAAGTTGTTCTCCCCCCCCCCCCCCCATGCAGAGAAGAGGGGAGCTTAATTGTATGACTCATGGATCCTTTTCAGTAGAATTAAAATTTTGTTGTTGCTTATTATTATAAAAACAACCCCAGCTTTATAATCAGGTGTATGATTTTTCTACTTTCAGCCTCACCTCTCAGGAAGAATATCTGCAAATAGAATATACAAAATGTATAGTTTGGCTACATTCATGCAAGGAGATTTTTCTCTGGATAAGCATTCTCTCTACCAACAAATAGAAGTGTAGTTAACTGCCTAAAACACATCTCAGTTTTTGAATACCCAACAAGTACCCCTCTCCCCCCGCAAAAAAAGAAGCCAACTGTAAAGTACCATACTTCATAGGCGGAGATGATCAGCTGGAGAATGTTCCCAGAGTCTTTCTGAAGTAGCCCTACTGTAGCTCCAGGAATGAGTTTTGCATAATTCTGTAAACAAAAAGAAGAAGTCAATCTTTGCTCACTTTAATTGAGAAATGTCAAGTGTGGGGTTCCGCCTGCTGGTTGAGATCGCCTTTATTTAACTGGCTGTGGCAACAGGCTCCTGAAAACAAACAGACATTGCTCCTGAGACTGGAGCCCTGCAACCTTCGCACAAGGGGAAAATGGACTGGCCAGCGTCGCTGCTGGGAAATCTAGTGTCAGTGACTGCCTCCGTCTAGGGCTGTGATCTATATCATGACATGAGTCAAGTCTTAAGTAATAGTAACACTTAGGTAACATCCTCCTTTCATGGGGTGTCTTTGTCCAAAAATTCTGAACATACTATCAGGAACTATCTTCTCTTTTTTTGTAACGGTGCAGAAACCAAGATTTGGTATACATGGGCCCTTGACTGCCATCAGCTCACTTTTTTAGTCATTCAGTCCAGGGGTGTTTGTCAATCGCTTGGTGGAGAAAAGGTGTGAATTATTGGCTGCTTGTTACCTCCTCCCTTCCCAGCGGTATTGAGTGCATCGGAGCCTCCCTCTACACCACTGCATCCCCACCTACATTGCTTCTCCTGAGATGTGGTTCCCACCTGAGTAAGACTCACCCATTTCTTCAACACTCCAGGTACTGAGCATGGCCAGGGAATGAGGCATTGCAAAGAAGGGAATTTTCCAGACCATTGATAACTACCCCTCTCTTAAATTTTATGTTTAAAACTATTTTCAAACAGAAAGTTGTCTAAAGTGTACTGCACACGCCCCTGTTTTCTCAAATAAAGACTCCAAAGCATACTTTGATGTTCTTTTTCTTGAAGAGAGTCATACTTATCAATAATACCTATAGCTCTATAATCATCAAAGGCTTCTAAAGTCCATGATAGATCACACCCATACCAGGTGGGCCCCAACTGCTACTCTTTTGCTTCTTTTATTTGTTTTTAAATAGTTTCCTTCTCCTTGTTAAGCTGTAAGGTATCACTTGCCTACCAATTTACTCATTTGCTGTGGCATCAACAACATCTATTAGGTCGGCTTAATATGCTGTGAAGAAGAGACAATCACTCTTTTGTCAGCTGCGGTCTTCTAAGTTGCTGTGTGCTGTGACATCAGATGGCTGAATTTATTAAAATTGTACATAGAAAAAAGAAGTAAGCTTTGAGTGAAGGATTTAGGGCATCTCCCGTAGTTCAAACATAATATCCTATTCTTATTCCACAGAAGATTTAAGTGGCGTAGGAAATACACAAAGCAAATTTACAACTAATCGTTATCATTCATCATCGTTGTGATAGTAAGTAACTAAATCAGGACAAGGAGGACCAAGGAGAGGAACAAATGAAGCCAGGGCGACATGGTCTAGGAGGTCCCACCCACTTGCTAGAGGTGGGCACTTGGGTTAAGTCCAAGCTTTCTATGCCTCTTGTATTAAAAAGCGGTGGCAGGTGTGTGTGTGTGTGTGGGGGGGTGACTCTGTTTTTAATTTGTGGGTTTTGTTCCTTTTATTTCAGTGTTCATGGTTGTGTTTCAATTTGCATTTGATGTAAATCTGAACCCTTGAAAGTGTCCGTTGTCCCTCTCTGCCCGGACGCTGTGCTTTATTATTGAAGGGCCGTGGGCAGTAATCCAGGTAACGCTCTTCCCATCTCTCTGTGGCCACATCCCTGCCCGGTGAAGGTGGGCCCCACTCTGTTTCCCTGAGTCAGGTAGAACTTGTCAAATACAGGGAAGGCACCGGTTTATCAACTTGCCTTTTCAAATAAACACGTCAAAAGGGCCGTGAAGCGTGAGGCCTGTGGTTAACGGGGAATACCTAAGTAGGAACTTGAGTTTCACTCAAGTGGAGCTGGAATGTGTGTAAATTTGACTAGTCCCAGAAGAGAAGGCAGAGGGAATCTTTAGAGCTTGACAAGAAAAGGTTTAAATCCTTTTGAAAAAGAATTTCAGGCTCTTAGCGTTGCATAAAAATTGCTTCCCTTGAAAAAATGTCCAGCTATCCCTGAGGCTGAGGTCTAAAGGGTATTTTCCATAAGCACTAATTCAAGTGGCCTCCAATTTTGGGGTTAATTCTTGGTTAACAAAGCCAAATCCATGTACTTCCTAGAGCATAATTATGGTCCTACATGTGGTATGTCATTTGGCATTTGGCTATTAGGACAAGTGGTTTAGCATGAATCGTATTTGCTGATTGCCACTGGAGCTGGGGGAGAAAGGAGTTGGCCACCAGCAGCGGTGCCCAGTGACAACACTGACAATTGTGTAGAGGGAAACTATTAATTAATTCCTGTGTGCTGATTTTCCCCCCAAAGCATTGCAAATAACTAACTAGAAGCATGGGCAATTTGGCGTCCTGATCTAACACTGTAAAAAATTATACTTTAAATCTTGTAGTGTTATGATTACTGTAAATATCATGTGTCAAATGCCTTTCTTTCATTAAATCCCTAAAGTGCTATTATAAATTGTCCTGATTAAACATGTTTAATGTTAGAAAAAGGGTGCTTTTGCATGCCTGGATGTGATAAATTATAGCACTGTAACTATAAAAGATGACTGTTGGATATTAAAAATGGTGAGCTCTGAAAACACGATGTTACATGAGCTGATGAGAAATGCAAACTCCTATGCTTGGGCTTGAATTTCTTGGGCTTGAATTCCCTGTTATCTGTCCATGGATTATCCTAATTATGGACTTTCTCCGCGCCCTCCCCCCTTCCCACCATGCCACCCAGGAGTTCCTGAGGTTGCTTTTCTCATCCATGTTTGCAAGTTTGTCTCCTGATGATTGCTTTAGTTTTCTTAACTTTTTTCATCAAGCCCTTTTTATTTATTCATTCTGCCCCCATCTCAAAAAAACAAACACAAAAACCCTTCTTTTTTTTTCTTTTTTTTTTTTTTTTTTTTTTTTCAAAAGTCTCCTGTCAAGGATAGAGGGTAAGAAATAGACAGGGGGTCATTTAGCGGACAGGCATGAAAGGATACAGAAGAAAGCGACTGAATTCACACCTGCAGACTCTCAGAGGCTGTCTCCAAGTTCAGTGCCAGAACCAGCTGTCAGGTGTGTGCTCCTGCTTGGCTGAGGGCAGAGAACCAAGCAGACACACCTGCTGCCCCAGCTAGCTGTGGGCAGGCTGTTGCTTGGCTTTCTCTTTAAAAAAGACTTAGATTGAGGACGTTGGCAAACCTGGCTACTTTTGGTGCTGTTTTGGTGCTCTGGCCCATAGAAAGCATAGATCCTGACAGTGACCTTCCTTCCTGCTTTGCTGACACTACCTGGTGGGTTAACTCTCATCTTCAGGTTTCAGAGCCTGGCTGTGTCCAGGAGCTGGTCCCTCATGAGCTGCAGTTAGTAACTTAGAGGGCCTTATAACAGGATGCAGAGGTCCTCACAAGCCTCCTGACATCCCCAAGCACCTCCTGCCTTTGGACACATCTTCCGAAACCCAAGCTCCTGGAGGGTATGTTGTCATGGGGACTCACGCACAGCTTGGGGAAGTAGCGGGAATGCCGGGGAGAGGACCACATTGCTCTTTATCTCCTCGGTTCCATGTGGCTCGCTGTTCTGGTGCAATGAGCCCACGCTGCAGACAGGGCTAAAGGTGCCTATAACGATCCTCTTACCACCATCTGGGAAAGAATCACTAGAGCTAACACTCGCAATTAGCAGTGTCATCTCTTTCATCCTTCAAAGAAGCTCTACTATGTCAATTTCATTCTTATCCTTGTTTTACTGCCATAATACTAGGCCCAGGGACTTTAGTTAACTTGCCAGTGGTCATCCAGCCAGGAAGTAGCAGAGCTGGACCCACCTGCCATGCCCTAGAGCCAGGTCTCTGAACCAGGACACTGATGGGACATGCCCGATATGGGCAACGGCTGTTGTGGTCTGGTGATGTCCTAGGTGAGCCTGATGGAGGTTCGTGAGGAAGCCTATGTTAACTGATGTATTCGTTTCCAAGGGCTGCTGTAACCAAGTACCACAAACGGGGTGGCTTGAAACAACAGAAATTACTGTCTCACAGTTCTGTGGCCAGAAGATGGAGAGTAAGTGTTGGCAGGGCCCTGTTCTCTCCAAAGCCTGAAGGGGAGACTCTGCCCTTCCTCTTCCTCACTTCTGGTGGTCGCAGGCAATCCTTGGCTTGACTGTGCATCACGCTCATCTGCCTCCACAGCTGCATGGTGTTCTCCCTCCTGTGTCTCTGTCCCCATGTCTCTTCTCTTCTTCTAAGTACTCTCCAGTTGTGCTGGACTAAGGGTCCACCATGCTCAAGTGCGACCTCATCTTAACTAATAACATCCAAAAGGCTCTCTTTCCCCATAAGGTCACAGTCTGAGGAACTAGGCATTAGAACTTTCCTATAGCTTTAGGGGGAACACAATTCAACCCCTGACATTCTGCTCCAGTTCTTTTTGACTTTTTTAACCTTTAAACCTGTAGCTTGAGCTGGGAAGTGAGAACCTTGCCCATTCACAGAGCTAATAAGTGGTACAATGGGTCTCCACTGCAAAGCCAGTGCTCACCCTGCTCCGCCAGGCCCTGCCAGGAACTGGCGCAAATGCCAACAGCCATCGAGGGTGAGTCTCCTGAGAAAGACACAATAATGATGCCTTGTATTTATATGCAGGGGCTTAGAGATTAAAGAACACTTGTGTACCCAAAGCAAAAAGAAAGGAGGAAAAAGGGTTGTGGCTGTAATCACTTTCAAACTGAAAGGCTACCTCTTGAAAGAAATGTAGGAAGTAGTGAAACCATAGAGGTCAAAAAATATTTTTTTCCTCGGGCACTGTATTGAGCTTTTATCTGGTCAAAGGAAAATAGCTCTTTGCTGGTGACGCCTTGCTTTTGTCAAGCAGTGAGCTTGTTCCAGAGCTAGGAGCAGGCTGCACGCGCTGGAATAAGCCCTTCTTCTGAAGGTAGTCAGAGGGCTTTCTTCCCGTGAGGTCTTTCATCCCTGTGAGGTTTCATTCGGCTGGTTCTCACGTTCATTATCGGTAAATGCA